CAGATGAACAATTTACAAATAAATACAGATCCTTGAATTCAACATTTTAAAAATTGATATACAAATTATTTAAGTAAAAGATTCATGATTACAATATTATTCTGATAAAAGGCTGCAACCTGTATAAAATCATTGTTGGCTTGTTATATTTTTATTTTATGCCAAATGCATAATGATATTTACTCCCTGAATTCTTTTTTTACCCTTCACCTTGGGAAAACCGTATGACTCTGTTTATAATCAACCCCCCTACACCTCACATTTAGTAATCTCTCACCTCTTAGTGTTCTTTCTTTGCGCCCAAATAATCTTTCTAAAACATCATTTTGCATTTGCTCCCTGCCCACTTAAGGCACACATAAAATGATCTTCAACATAATACTTAATTTGGCTCCAAAAGATGATTCATTAATAAGGGTTGTTGCATGACTTTGAAGGGCCCATTGGGAAAGATAATAGAGACAAAGAGGCAGACAGATAAATAGATTTGTACACAGATAAAAATATGACAAAGGCCAAATGCATATGTTATTTGATATATATGTGTGGATATAGCTCTTTTTTTAAATAAAGTCTTTATTGCATTTGGTTGAATAGACTGACAGCTGAGAAATCAGTGGAGTAATGGATAGATGGAATGACAAAAGATTGATATATTTTCCCCAAGATATGTACATAACAAAGATGCCAACGTTTTCTACGAGTAAAATCATAGCAGAGTGCTTCATCCCATTATAATATTTATAATTTTATTAACATATTAATATTTGTCACTTATAGTATTACTTTCTATTATGTTTCGACTTATAAAAATAAAGGAGGACACACTGATGATACCCACAGAATTTATTCTGGCATATACCAGTTTTAGTTATTTTCTTTCCAGAGACAATAGTTCTACAGGCACATTCGAATCAATTCTTATGTTTATATAATGTTATATGTTTATATATGTAATTATACCTACTGTAGTATAAAATTTTTACACAAATTTTATTATAAGCATTTATCAATTCCACGATTATACCATTTTAAGGTTAAATAGGTGTGCAGATTATCACACCATGTGGAAACACAGGCATTATTTAATAGCAAACAAATGTTATCTATTATTTATTTTGATCTCTATGAATGAACACTCAGTTTGTAATAAGATTATAACAGTGGCATATTTGTCTTTGGAAGTTAAACATATATTCATCTGGTGCATACTTTATACCTGTGTTAATTGCTTTCAAAAATAAGAGGGCTAGGTGTGGTGGCTCACACCTGTAATGCCAGCATTTTGGGAGGCTGAGGCAGGAGGATCCCTTGAATTCAGGAGTTTGAGATGAGCCTGTGCAACAGAGCAAGACTTTGTCTCTACAAGAAATAAAAAATTTGCTGGGTGTGGTGGCACATTCCTGTAGTTTCAGCTACTTGGGATCCTGAGGTGTGATGATCACTTGAGCCTGGGAGGTTGAGATGGCAGTGTGCTGTGATCATGCCACTGCACTTAGTCTGGGCAACAGAGTGAGATGTTGTCTCAAAAATAAATAAATAAAAAGTGACATAAAGCATAGTACTTGCAAAGAAGGATAAATTACATGCATGCACATACAGAAAGAATTAAATGAGTATATATAGGTACTATACAGTGAAACAAATATGTCAAAACTTCTATTCTTTCCACTCAAATATATTCAGTTTATTTCAATATTTTTTACCTGTACTGGCTATAAGTCTCTATTTTATATAAAAATTATGTATATTAGTTCCTGTTTCTGGTGTATTTTATTAATTCAGTTTGAAAGAATGTAATTCTTGCAATTGAGTTTATATTGCCAATTATTTCTAAGGCATATTTCATATGCATGCTTAGTCATAGGGCAACAGATATTAATATGTTTTTAAACTGATAGAGAAAATATTTTTAAATGGCATATTAAACAGGTAGTGGCACAAGATATAAACCTAATCATTTGTAATAATTTAAAATATATTACAAAATAAAATGATTTAAAAATATATTTCTGTATTATTTGGCCAATATCTTATCCTGGATGTTTCTTGTATTATATTAATATAACATAGAAATAAATTATACTTTAGCATTATATCAGACAGACTTGTTATTATTTATATTTTGTATAGATTTTCATCTCAGAGTGAATATAAATTGTTCCATTATTGCAAAAAACATAATATGTTGAACACCCTGGCCACCTTGTAAAGAAAATGACAAATTGTATTTGTTTTTAACATCAATTAAGAAATATAAAAAGAGTAAATAATGGAAAAAATGAACAGGATGGCTACATTCAAGTGATGGCTGTCAGAAATTTCAATTTTACTTTCTAATCTGCCTAGTGTTCTGTGAAAAGAACCAATGTTCAGTCCTAATCATAATAGTGACAGCTATCCAGATTTGAAGGTTCTGTACACATAAAAGATAAAGGGCAAATCAATCTTCATAGAGTTTCAGTTCTAGGATATTATTACGTGAGATGACAAATCATGCTGTTTTATTTTATTTAAAAAATTTTTTTTCATATGAAATTAGAGTCCAAAAATTATCAGATTAATTTAAAATTATGAAATTCTTTGGAATGTTATTAATGTTAATAAAATGTTCAGTTTTACGTATATTTGGGGCATGTAATAGGTTTTTATTCACATAATTATGCAATCAAAACATTATTTAGTAATATAATTAAAATTTGCAAATGAAATGTATAATACTTATTACTTTGTAAACCATAATAGGTGCATTTACTATTAAATGTGTTTACAGGCACTATTTATAAATAATTATAGCCAAAATATATTTCATTTTTTATTTATACCCTGTCCATTATTTCTGAAATAATTCTTCAAATTAACTGAGACAAGTCATTTTTGACCACAGCACCACTTTCAAATCAGCAATCACAGTTATTCTTGAAACAACAATAAATTCTCTTAATCGAGCAATGCCAAATATGCAGTGGGAAAATTTCCAGGAAGACAAATTTACCAAGAAGTATTTATGCCCAATTAACAAAATATTTTGAGGAATAGACATTCCAAATAAGACAAGGGTGAGAGTTCATTTTCTTCTATCAGATTTATAAAATAAGGCCTATGGTTTAGAAATCCATGCATTCTCATACAGTTCTTAATGGAAGCATATACATCTTTCATTTTTCAATATTTATGATGTGTCAAAATGAGAAAAATGCACATAAATATTTCGTCAACATATGTGGAACAAGATATGCAGAAGATGCTTGATGCAGCATTGTTTATAGAAACCAACTTTTGATTTTTTCTTGAAAAGATTTATTGCAAAACAATCAATAAATCTATATTTATTGAATTCTTATTTTCTTATATTTTGTGTGCAAAAAATATACGGCAGTTTATGGGCTTATGAAATAATTTTTTTTTTTTTTTTGAGATGGAGTTTCACTCTTGTTACCCAGGCTGGAGTGCAATGGCACGATCTTGGCTCACCGCAACCTCCGCCTCCTGGGCTCAGGCAATTCTCCTGCCTCAGCCTCCTGAGTAGCTGGGATTACAGGCACATGCCACCGTGCCCAGCTAATTTTTTGTATTTTTAGTAGAGAAGGGGTTTCACCATGTTGACCAGGATGGTCTCGATCTCTTGACCTCATGATCAGCCCACCTTGGCCTCCCAAAGTGCTGGGATTACAGGCATGAGCCACCGCGCCCAGCCCCGGAATAATTTTTAGAGATTTATAGCAACAACAAAAAGTTGAACATATGTTGTAAAAAAGAAAGTATGTAGTACTCTTGATGATATGACATAGGACTATGTACTAAGATAGAAGAACTTGAAGAAGTGATAGTTGATCTGAGGTCTGACAAATGAGTAAGAGTTTATTAGATGCAATGGCCCAAGAAAGAACACTCTCAGAATATACTAAGTGCTTAAAGAAGACTGTATGGAAAATATTCTAGTGCTTAAAGAACACTGTACACAGAATATGCTAAGTGTTTAAAGAAGACCAAGCTGAAGCAGAAGTGTACAAGGACAAAGGAAAAATATCTACTGTAAATGTAAAGTGTACAGAGTAGACAATTAAAAGACAGTATTGGGAAGATGTAGTGATTGAATATGAAGAGTAAAAATACATGACGGTAAATTATTTATTTCAGATTTTTGACTTGAGGGAACAGTGGGAAAAAATGAAAGGAATGTTGTTGTTTTTATTTTCTTTTTGGCGCAATGAAGGTTAATTCTGAGCTCAGTTTAGTGTGGTAGATTTGAGGTGCCTAAGAGGTATAAAAGTGAAATCATCTTGCAAATACTTGCATTTTTCTGAAAATTAGGAGAAATGACAATGGTTATAATACGTCTTTGGGAATTATCAATATAATTAAATGCATTAGAATGGCTGAAATCATCTATGATATAAGAAGGTAAGTAAATATGTGATGCAACCCTGGTCATTTCCCTCATTTATGGATTTGGTAGAGGAGAAGGAAGCAATGCTAAATGAGAAGCAACTAGCAAATAAAAATAAAATCTAACAGATGGTGTTTTTAGAAAGGTAAGGGTAAGATTATTTTGCGGAGAAGTGTGCTTAGCAATGTCAACAGTTTCCTCCAAAATCATCAGGAATTTTTTTAAAGGACATAGAATTTTCTGACATAGCAGGGCATTAGAGACAGAAATAGAAATAGCTTTATTATGCAGTATGCTTTGAAACCCTAAATGAGTTTAGTAAGGTGCAAGTGGTAGCTGTAGAAAGGCACAGTCAGATCTGTAGTTCTTTTGATGTATCATGAAAAGAAATAAATACATAAAGACATTGGGAGACCATGATGACACTTGAGAAGGGTTTGCATTTGTATTTCATCTACAGAAAAAGGTTGGACAGGAAGGAAAAAACAGTGAATTGTTGAAAAGAAAAAAAAACATAAAACATGTAAAATTGTGAATGACAATATGCAGAAAGTAATATAGCTCTTAAATGTTATTACTGAATTTCTGGGGTTTCAATTTTTCTGGCCAGAAACCTCTGTGGCGATGGCACTTTTGCCTGAGTTCTTCTTCTATGTCCTGGAAGAATGAGGTACAGAGGCAACAGATGGGTGAAGAAGAGTTTCATTGAACATCTCGTAAAGGTGGGTAGCTCCTCTCTATTTGCAGGTCATACTGTCTAGTGTTCAACTATCAGCAAAGAGGAGGCCCTGAAGAGGGTGGTTCCTCCCTGCCGGCAAGTCATCTGACCTCTCTGCAGGTCTCTGAAGCTCTCAGCAGAGAGGGTAGCTCCCCTCTGCTGGTGGGTTTACTCCGCAGCTCTCGGCGAAGAGGGTACTCCTCTCTACAACTGGTCATCCTGTCTGTCAGCTCTCTGCTCTCTCTGTTTTCTGGCCATCCTCTGCCATGCTCTGGGTGATCCCAGGGCTTCTATGGCAGTGTTTTTTTATTTGATTATGAACTAGGACACATTTTTTTTCGGCTGAAAATAAGGAAGAAATTGGGGTTACCCAGTTTTATCAAGACTTAAATTGAGTTTAAAAAGGATTGTAGAGAGATTAATGGAATAGGAAAATGTTGCAGTGTTTCAGAGCATTGTTCACTGACGGTTTATGGTCAGTGTCTCTGAACTTATGATGGAATCAATTCATGTAAACACAGCTAAAAATTCTGCATGGATAGTGAAAGCAAGTAGTTTTATAAATATTTCTGGCTTGCACAGGTATATGTTCTAAATATAGAAGATTACTGCAAGTGATCCAATCAGAAATACCTAAAACGTAGGCTAAGAAGAAAGAGAAGAGAAAAGCAGAATATGACCAATCACAGTACTTAAGGAAACAAAAATGTGAAAATGTGGATCACTGAACAGGCTATTTGGTGGTATTTGAGTAAACAACCTAAGAAAATTCCACTATGTTATCTGTGTTAATTCTTACTGTATTTTTGTTTTGCCTTTGTTTCTTATTTGCTTTCATTGTTGCTATTATTTGTTTTGTTTTCTGCTTTTTACTTGCAGCTGAACTAATCCTAAGTAATACACTGCCAATATTTCACAGACATGGAGTGGTAATTCTCTCCTTTCTTTCAGTGTACAATGACTAAAAAAATAAAGCAGTCTTCGTAAAGGCAAAGGTAGTCCTAGGAAAACAGTATTTTCTATTAAATTGTTGCAGTATGTGTCATTTCTCAGAAAATTTTTGGTAGATGGGAGATACATGTATTTTAAATAATTTGAAAGTTACCTATTAGTTAAAGGTTAATTGTGAAAGATTACCTGTTAAATTTTTTCTCAATACTTATGTTTGAAACTAATTCACTGTCAGTTGGCAACTTCTAGTAAACATGGTATTTGTGTGAGAATGCTGGGCTGGGTTGGTTTCTTTTTGAGGCACTCCAAGTATAAAAGTAAAAATGTTTTCTAACATGTTTGAGCATCAAAAAAAAAAAAAACCCTAAGAAATAAAGAAGAGAATAGGCATTCTACTGACTCTCAAATAGTTGTAGGAAAAAAATTGTGTTTTGACTCCAGTAAACTACATTAAAAATAGAATTGTCACAAACTGACAATCCATGACTGTTACTGTCTCATAGTTTTGAAGGGCAGTTTTAATAAATTATAAAGCTTCTTCAGAAAGAGATTTATGTGGATTATTAAAAGCATGAAGTAGATAAATTTATAATTATATACAATAAAATGGAATACACTGAGATCAAGTTATATTGTTGACTGAAAAGATATAGATGACTAACACTATGTATTACATAATATAATGAATTCTGCCTTCCATAATTTGAAAATAAATCTTAGAATCTAGACATACAGTTTGGTTTGAAAAATATGCTAAGGCAATGTTGCATATTGGTGGAGCAAAATCTTAAAATTTCTATGAGTGGAAGAGGTAAAAGTGCAGTTTTTTTTACATAGATATATTATGTGGTGGTGAAAAATAATTGTAGTGTAATTATCACCCAAATAGTTTACATCATACCCGTTAAGTTATTTCTCATCCCCTACCCCCTTCTATGCTCCTATCTTTCCAAGTCTCTAATAACTGTTTTTTTTACTGTCAGGTGGACCCATCATTTAGCTCCCTCTTATAAGTAAGAATAGATGGTTTTGGACTTACTATTTATGCATTGTTTTACTTAAAATACTAGACTCCAGTTCCATTTGTGCTGCTACAAAATACATGATTGTATTACATTTTATGGATGAATTGTTCCATTTTATGTGTATGTATATGTACACACATCACATTTTTAATACAATCATCGGTTGGTGGGCACTTAGGTGGATTCTGTATCTTGGCTATTGTGGATAGTGTTGTGATAAACATATGCATGCAGGTATCTTTTAAGTAATGATTTTTTTTCTTTTGTATGTATAATTAGTAGTGTGATTGATACATCAAATGGTAGTTCTAATTTTAATTCTTGAATCATCTCTGTACTGTTTTTCACAGAGGTTTTACTAGTTTACATTTCTACCAAAAGTATACAGTACAAGCATTCCCTTTTCTCTGCATCCTCACCATCTCTTATTTTTCGACTTTTAGTAATAGCTATTCTGACTGGTGTGAGATGCTATTTTATTGTGGTTTTAATTTGCATTTCTCTCATGATTAGTGATGTTGAGCATTTTTTTTCATTTCTTGGCCACTTGCATGTTTTCTTTTGCCAAAAGTATGTTCATGTTCCTTGCTCACTTTTTACTGGAGTTATTTGTTTTTATTATTGTTTTCAATGAGTTGTTTGCATTCCTTGTAAATTCTATATATCAGCCCCTGGTTGAATTCATCCGTCGGCAAACATTTTCTCTCATTCTGCAAGTTGTTTGTTCACTCTGTTGATGATGATGACTATTTATCTATTTATTTATTTTACTTTTAGAAGCTTTCTAGTTCAACTTCCATTTTTCTACTTCTCATTTTGTTGCTTATGCTTTTGACATCTTAGTCATAAATTATTAGCCTCGGCCAATATCCAGAAGAGTTTTCTCTAGGTGTTCTTCTAGTATTTTTAAAGTGTAAAGACTTATATTTAAGCATTTGGTGCATATTGAGTTGATTTTTTGTATAAAATGAGAGATGGAGGTCCAATTTTATTCTTCTGCATATGGCAGGATATATAATAATAGAAAAATTAAAAATGAATAAAAATGTAATTTGGGAAATGTGCAGATATGTGAAAATTAGACAGCACCCTCCTAAATAACAAATAAAAATGAATACATAAGAAAAAATATATGTAGTTTAAGATCAAGAAAAACAAAACCAAAAAACACTATATTTAAAAATTATGGAATGCAGTTATAGCAGTACTTAGAGAAAAACTTGTGGTTGGAATCACCCATGTTAAATAAGAAGAAAGATACTAAACCAATAGTCAAAATTTCCACCTTAGAAAACAAATATAAGAAATAAAAACTAAACCCACGGAAAGTAGGATAAAAATAATAAAGATTAGAGCAGAAATAAAATAGATAATAAAGAAACAAAGGGAGCAAATTAATGAAATCAACATTTGTCAGCAATGTTAACAAAATTGGCAATCCTTAGCTAGATTTACCAAGAAAGAAGAGAGAGAGAAATAGAAAGGAGGTCGATAATTCAAATTACAAAAGTCAGGAATGAGAAGATGAACATTACTACAAGTTTTACAAAAGAAAATTATAAGCTAATACTATTAACAAGTGTTTGCCACCAAATTAGATAACCTAGATGAAATGAACAAATTCCTAGAAAGGCACAAGCTAACTAAATGCACTCAAGAAGAAATAGATGGTGGCTGACTAGAGGAATTTGCCACTCACCTCCTTCACAAAGAAGAATCAAAATAGTGAGTAGATAATTGTACTTCAAATAGATTGCCTAAGAGAATGCTGGAATTCAGCAGAAAAATCACAGAAAACCTCTAAGGCAACAAGGAAAAAAGGGAGAAAGAAGGTAGCCTGATTGGCCAGGAAAGGCTGCGAGCCTATAGAGGCTCCCCAGTCCAGGGAAAGACTGAGTGACACCAGGGTTCCACGTTCCCACAAAGGACTCCATCAATGGGAGAAGCATTAGATTTAAACTGTACTTCAGAACAAAATGGATCTAACACATTTTACAGAACATTTCATCCAACAGCTACAGAATACGTATTTTTCTCATCAGCACATAGAACATTCTCCAGGATAGACTATATGTTGGGACATGTCTCAACAAATTTTACAAAATTAAAATCATATAAAGTATCTTTTCTGACTACAATTGAATAAAAGTAGAATTCAATATTTAAAAGAACTTCAAAACTGTAGAAATATATGAAAATCAAACAACATGCTCCTGAATGACCACTGGATCTAGGAAGACACTTAGGAGAAAATTTTAAAATTTTGTGAAATAGTTTAAATACAAAGCAGAACATAACAAAACCTATGGAATAAAGCAAAATCTGTAATAAATGGCAAGTTTATGGTAATAAACTCCTATATCAAAAAGGTAGAGTGATTCAAAATAAACAATCTATGTACCTAAAAGAAGTAGAAAAAAGCAAGAGTCAACCAAAATGAAAATTAGAAGAGAAAAGGTAATAAAAATCAAAGGAATTCTAAGTAAAAAGAACAAAGCTGGAGGCATCACATTACCTGATTTCAAATTATGCTATGAAGCTTTAGTAATCAAAACATAATGGTACTGGTATGAAAATAGACACCTTGATCAATGGAACAGAATAGAGAACCCAGAAATAAAGCTACAAAATACTAGTGAACAGAATCCAACAGCACATTAAAAAGATAACACAACATGAGGAAATGAGATTTATACCAGGGGTGCAACGATGGGGGGATGTGCAAATCAGTAAATGTGACATATCAAATCCACAGAATGAAGAACCATAAGCCTATATTTATCTCAATAGATACAGAAAAATCACTTGATAAAATTTAAAGCCCTGTACTGGACTGATTTACAGATGAATTCTACCAGAATTCTACACTCTTCTAAAGAAGTGCTGGTACCAATACAATGAAACTATAAAGAAACAATCGAGTAGGAGGGCAATGAAAAGAGAAAGCTTTAGGCCAATATCATTGACAAATATAGATGCAAAAATCCTCAACAAAACACTAGCAAATAAAATCTAGCAGCAAATCAAAAAGCGAATGCACCACAATCAATCAGGCTTTATCCCTGCAATGCAAGATTGTTCCAACACATGGAAATAAATAAATTAGATCCGTCACATAAACAGAGCTAAAAACAAAAACCAAATGATGGTCTTATAGATGCAGAAATGACTTTTGATAAAATTCAACATCCCTTTCCATTAAAAAACCCTCAGCAAACTAGGCACTAAAGGAACATATCTCAAACTAATAAGAGCTATCTATGAAAAACATACAGCCTACCTCATACTGAATAGGCAAAAGCTGGAAGGATTCCCCTTCCTAACCAGAAAACAAGGATGCCCACTCTCAGAAGTCATATTCAGCACAGTACTGGACGTCCTGGCCAGAGCAGTCAAGCAAGAGAAAGAAATAAGGGACATCTACATAGCAAGAGAGGAAGTTAGACTCTCTCTCTTCACAGATAATATGATTCTATATCCATAAAACTATTGTTTCTGCCCCTGGAAATGGTAAAATACTTTAGTAAAGTTTCAGTGTACAAAATCAGTATAAGAAATTAGTAGTATTTCTATACAGTAATAGCCAAGCTGAGAGCCATATCAAGAATGCAATCCCATTCATAACAGCCACAAAAGAGGTGAAAGAAATAAAATACCTACCAATATAGCAATAAGAGAGGCGAAAGATCTCTACAATGTGATGTATAGAAAACTGTTGAAAGAAATGAGAGATGACACCACGAACAAATGAAAAAACATTTCACACTCATGAATGGGAAGAAACAATATTGCCTAAATGGCCATTCACCTAAAGCCATGTACAGATTCAGTGCTATTTCTATAAAATTACCAATGTCATTTTTCACAGAATTAGGGAAAAAAACTATTCTAAAATTCATATGGAACAAAAAAAAGAGCCCAAATAGGCAAAGCAATTCTAAGTAAAGCAAATAAAACAAACAAGCCAGAGACATTACACTACCTGACTTCAAACTAGACTACAAGATGATAGTAACCAAATAGTATTGTACTGGTAAAACAAAACAACAACCAAAACAAAAAACAAACAAACAAACAAAACAGACTCATGGATCAAAGGAACAGGTAGAGAATTCAGAAAGCCACAAATCTGCAGTCATCTGATCTTTGAAAATGTTAACAAAAATAAGCAATCAGAAAAGGACTCTATTGTTAAAAGAAAATCCTTAGCTAAATTAAATTTAAACAGAGTTTAATTGAACAATTACATGAATAAGGCAGACTCTTGAGCCAGAGTAGGCTCAGAGAAACTCCAGGGAAGCCACATGGTGCAATAAGATTTATAGACAGGAAAAGGAAAGTGAGATACAGAAAATAGAAGTCAGATAGAGAAACAGCTAGATTGGTTAAACAAAAAATCAGTGTTTACCTTACTTCAACATGGTTTGAATAGTTAGCCCCTTTTGATTCTCCAAAACTTGACGATCGGC